TTTTTTTCTTTTCTTTTTCCTTTTCTTCTCTCCTTTTCTTGCAAATGATAGGGGGGGCGACCGCCCCCCCCTGCCCCCCCCTGTGTCGCCGCCCCTGTATATGCCTATTCCATATGTACCTGTCCACATTGATGACACTGTGATTGAACATGAATAAAAAAAAAAATAAAAACCAGGCGTTCTTCCTTTTTATTAATTTATATATAATCTCGAGCTATCGTTCTTGATTTTAATTAAGTTAAAAAAATTTGTTGCCAATAAAACTTTTATAATTAAAAAAATAATCACTGATATCAGATAAACTTGTATTAGAGTTCCTGCAAGAGAACGCAGCTAACACGAGGCGGCGCCACTGTTCGTACGGCGCGTTTTCCGGGTGTTGCTATCCCCCGGGCGTGGAAGGACAGTCACGTGATACAGTTCACGTATACCTCAAAGTCCAAATCTTCCACAGAAAGATTCCACAGTCATACCTCCGCACTAGACATGGCCTTATATTCCTAACCCTAACCCTAACCCTAACCCTAAGCCTAACCCTAACCCTAACCCTAACCCTGATCCTAACCCTAATCCTAACACTAGTGCGGCCACATTGCGGTAATGTCCCTCCACGCCCGGGGGATAGCATTTCCCACGTGTTCGCGTGCACTAGACTGGTACCCAGTCCGACTTCTCGGCTTAGTTACTCGATGGTAGTAACCCTAGCCCATCGAATAATTGAGGTGGGAGCGAGTACCAGTCTACGCGTGCACCGGATGTTGGCATGCTCTTCCGGCGCAAAGCAACACGGGAATTAATCGGTCGAGAGCACTCGAGAGTTTAAAAACCATTTGTAATACTATGGTAATACCCAACCACCCAAGCTCCTTGTGGCATATACCTTCACCGTTTTTCGACAGCAATAACAGGGGAAATTTTGCTAGTCGTTTCAATGGCAAGCGGCCCAACTAAACGTAGTAAGTACATTGCCACATTTAGTATCCGGCTTCTTTACCATAGCCTAGGCATAGGCATAGGCATAGCCATAGCCATAGCCATAGGCATAGCCATAGCCATAGCCATAGCCATAGGCATAGCCATAGCCATAGGCATAGCCTAGGCATAGGCATAGCCTAGGCTGCAGGCATAGCATTGGCAATAGGCTAGCATTGCCATTACTCATTACCCGGTACTCATTAGGCTAGCAGCGCATAGTCTGACTGTCGCTCATGGTCATACTCATACTCATACTCATAGTCATAGGGTCTAGAACCGTCTATGTCCCCCAGGCCAGGTTACTGCCGGAACGTACCATGGGTACGGTCTGGTATACCGGAACGTACCCTGGTAACTATGGGTACAGAGTACCATAGTACCCTGGGGGACATAGACCCTCTCAGCCTGACTGTCTGTTAATCGTATTCTAGATGAGACGGGATACTAGAGAAGCGTTGCCGAAAGGAGGTGTTAATCCAAAGCGCTAAGCGCAGATCTTG